GACCCCAGCCGCTCATTCAGAGCACACAACAGGCTTTCCCGAGATCTTCAGGTCATCGAAGGGCAGCAAGGCGAGGAGCTGCAAAGGCCAAGAGTGTGCACGTGTAAGGACCCAGGGTTGTGTCACCACTGGGGCTGAGGTAGGGGCCCAGACCTTTCCCCCCCCGCCCCAAGTCCTGCAGCCACCCACCTCCCTGGGGAAGTGCCAAGAAACCCTGGCTGGGCTTTCCCTAGGGCTCAAGGCAACATGCACCCCCAGAGCCAACACCTGCGCCCTGTGGGGGAGGATGGACACAGCTGGAAACTCCTACTGGAAGCTCCCCTCAAACCAGCCAACTCCTGCACCCCTGACACGCTTGCAGAGCCACAGGCCTCCCGCCTTGCAAACTCACATCGTCGTTGCCATCAGCCAGGTCCTGGGCTGTCTCATTCTCCATGTTCCTCAGCAAGGTGTCAGCCCCGGAATGTGAGAGGATGGCAGCAATGGCAGCATCCTTGCGGCCCACAGCCAGGTGGAGCGGGGTGCACCCGTTGTACATCTGGGCATCCACGTATGCGCCGTTGTGCAGCAGGAACTGGACAGCCTTGCGGTTGTGGCACTCCACGGCCAGGTGCAATGGGGTCTTCCCACTCGTGCCCTCCTGCAACCCACAAACCACATGGCATGGGTGCAGGGTCCTCTCAGATGGGCCCCGCAGCACCCACCCACACCTCCTTGACAAGGTGTAAAGGAGGTGGTCCCCACCTTGACTGCAGTCATGGCACCCAACAGCCCCTCAAAGACCTTTTCTTTCTGCTCCTTCAAAATTCTGTGCCTCCAAGCCTCACGGCAGTCCTGCCACAGCCTAGTAGTGCCTGCCTCGAGGCCGGAGGGAATTCCCAAGGGAGCCGTGTGCTGTGCCCAACCTCACTCGAACATGTCACCATGCCCCCAGCCTTACCCGAACATCAATGTTGGCTCCGCTCTCCAGCAGCAGAGACATCATTGGGATGTTCCCCTTCAAGGTGCTGATGTGCAGACAGGCCAAGCCTGGGATGGGGAGGCAGGAGGGAGAGCCACAGTCAGCCCGGACCACCCTGAGGCACGCCAACCCCAGCCCTGCGCCTGCTCTGCTGTGCTCCCGCATCCCTGCATACGGAATGCACAGTCTCTGCCCCAACCCGGTCGCGGACTCTGCACCGGGCTACCTCCAGGTCTCACCTTGCCAGTTCTGGAGCTGCAGGTCCTGGTGGTGCCCATGGGGCTGGGCCGTGCCCTCCGTCAGGGCTGTGCCCCGCAGCAGCTGCTGGGCGCTCTGCAGCCGCTGCTGCTCACAGGCCAGGTGCAGCGGAGTGTTCCCATTGCGGTCCTGCAGCCCGGGGTTGACTCCCTTGTGGATCAGTGCCTGGATCACGCTGGGCTGCTCCAGGTACACAGCGAGGTGGAGAGGGGTCTAGAGAGGAGGTGGGGACAGAAATTAGGAAAGTGAGGGATGCCCCACAGGACACCAAGTGTGACGAGCCACACCAGCCTACAGGAGCCAGCCTGGTGGCATGGGCAGGCTGCCATGAGGGAGCCCATCCCTGTCCCAGGGTTAAGTGTGGCTGACACCAGGGGGGTGCAAACGGCCTGCCACCCTGCTTGGCCTCAGCTCAAGGATCACTTGTGGGGGTAGATCTCACTCTCCCAGGTTATCTACCCTGCCACATGCAAGCCATGCCTGCTCCACCCTCCGGGGCTGGGAGCTGTTGCAACTCTTTCAGGGTATCTCCCAAATCCTTCTTCCTCTCCCTGAAAAGGGGCTGCTCACATGGCACCTTCACCATGCTCTGGAGGAAGTGGGTGAGGGTCCAGGGGAAAAGGCAGATGGATTTGGTGTCTATCCAGGGAGCAGCCTGCGGCGCCTGCCTTCTTCCCATTTTCTGCCTATCACACCCACATACCTGGAAAAGATCATTTTGGATCTCCAGCACCTCTCTGGGCAGCTGAGCAATGCAGCAGAGTGCCACAGCTGGGACACAGTGAATAATGGCCAGGTGAACCAACCTACAGAGGGGATAAAGGGAATGGGAGAGGAAAAAAAAAGGAAAAATGAGTCCTGAGAGCTATGCTGAGGAGTAGAGATGCTCCACTGCTGCATGGAGAAATAACATCCCTGCCTCTTCCAGTCCCTTTTGCTTCCTGCCAGCTCAGAGGTCCTCCATCCTGCCCTCTCCCTGGGGAAGCTTAGCAGCAGGGCAAGGCAGGAGCAAGGCCTGAGGCTCCCCAGGGCAATCCTTCACTCCAGTCCCCACAGAGAACAGACCCTCCTGTCCCCACAAAGCACCACAGGGTCCCCCCTTGGACCTCACGGCATGCACAGGGCTTGTACCCAGCACTGCCCAAAGCCAGGCCTCCAACCGAGGCAGGTCCGAAGAGCCTGGGATGCATTTCACAGAGCCCAAGGACCGTGTTTGGCCGCTGTTGAAGGAGATCTGGGTTCTGGCAGCTGCCCGGGGAATTCCAGTTCCCCACTGCCGGCTGCGCACCGCACTTCTGCTTTCCGCGCTGCAAAGGCAGGCAGCCACAGCTGGGCAGGAGCCCGGCGCTGGTCCAAGATCACCTGCCTGGCACAGTCCCCATGCCAGCCAATCTGCTGGCCCACCCCAATTTCCTCTTCTCTCCCCCACATCCTTCCCTTTTGGCACTGCCGTGGGCGGGCTGGCACAAAGCCCGATGGCACAGAGGGACACCAGAGGTGCGGCCATCAGAGCTCAGTGGCCAGCGGGGAGCCCACATCCCCAGGACCATGGCCTCCACAGCCACGGGGTGGCCAGGCAACCCACGGTTCCCCAGCCCAAGGAGAGGTTTTATTTCCAGACGGGTCTGATGCTGGCCCCTGGCACAGTCAGAACAGAAGTGAGAACGTGACGGAGGCAGAGCCGAGAGGGAATTTCCAGTCCCGTCCACCGACCTGCTGCACTCCCAGGCCTCCCTATGCAGAGGGACTGGCCCCTTGCTGCAGGGCAGCTCCCCTGGGTCAGCCCTGGCCATGGCGGGCAGCAGCGAGGAATGGGCAGCAGCGAGGAATGGGCAGCAGCGAGGAATGGGCAGCAGCTCCCACTCCAAAGAGCATGGCAGGCATGAGCTGAGCCTCCTGCTCCCTCTTCTCTGCCTGCACTGGAGCCCCTGGGTGGCTTTTATCTCCAGCAGGGATCAGCTCCGAACCAAAGGCCAAGCTCTAAGCGGCCTCCTGCCACCCACGCTGCTTGGCGGAGGCTGGCAAGGAC